GAACAATGGATCCGAAGTTGGAGTTGTCGCATAAAATTTTCTCGCATATATTTGAAAAAGCTCCTCAAAAAGCGAGCTACGCATAACTTGGAGCAAATTCAGATTTTTTATGATAAGTCTAGTTAGGACGATTGAAATGACTTTGTAGGATTATAAAAAGAAAAATGAGATATAATGATCTTTCATGCAGGTGGAGGAGCATGGACATCATCTTTGGCTAGACCGGGGTGCTTACCGCCGACTAGAAGAAACGGTTCCTCGACGGAAGGAATGGTAGCGGCCTCTTCAAGGTTAGAAGCCTTGCCTGGAGGAAGATTGACAACTTTGGGGGGAAGGGTAGCCAGGGGAGCCAGATCCTCGACTTCTTGCTTGAGGTCAATCTCTTTCTCACCTTCATCGACCTCCTATTGGCCCTTACCCTCATCCTCGGAATCATCCGAGTATACGTAAGCCATTCCCTAAGATTCGGTCTTCATCCGAGTATGCTGTGCCAAACTTTTCTCTACCTTAGTTGCTTCCGCTTCAGCCTTAGCTTGCGCGGCCTCACTAACCTTGATTTTGTCAAGGAATTCCCTTTCCTTGACCTCGAAGGTCGTCATCTGCTCCTTTAGTCGCTCAAGCTCAGCCTGTTTGGCTTCATTCTCCTTCTCCTTCTCCGAAACCTCAACCCTGGCCAGAGCATCCTCCTTCATTGTCTCCGCCAATTACCACTCTTTATAAGTGTCCTCCAATGTGGGATAAGACTCATCATAGAGAAGTCTGCTCGCCATGACGACCTAAAAAAGATAGGATGGAAAGTCAACAAGAAGTAATGATAGCATGCAATAAAAAGAAAAAGGGGGCGAACTACTAGTACCTTCGTGTATAGCTGCACACCCAAGCCAGTAACTGGGTGGGAGACGAGTCCTTAACACCCGTAAATGTTCATAGGATAACGCCATCCTTGGCTGCTACGGCCCCAACATTGATATGGTCGGGGAGTTGGTTGATCAAAGCATTGACCGCAGCTTGAGCCGCCTCGTCCATCTTCTTGCCTCCCTACCAAGACGAGTTGGATTTACTTCCCCCAGCAGCAGCAATCTCACCCACGGGAGCGGACTCCTTCTTGGCCAAGTCCTTGGCCACTGACTTCTTTACGCTGTCAGCCTACACAGCGACCTCCTTGCTCGAGCCACCCTACTGCTCAGCTACTTTCTACTTTCTCAAGCCCCCTTGAGGCTCAATTGACTTCTTCTTACCCGAGCCGTCGTACTACTTGGGTGCCTTCTGTTTCCATGAGCCTCCAGTTAGCTCGAGTGTTTTCTTTATCGGCCCCTTTTAGGGCTCGGAGGCACATTTCCTGCCAATTGCCTTCGAGGCAGTTGCAGGCTTCTTCACACTTGGGTCTTTTTCAAGTTCGCCCCCACTACACTTCATGCCAACAATATTAGTGGGTTGCTTCGTCAAAAAGCAGTTGGTGTTTTCTTAGCGGTCACGGAAGCCATCGCCTTTTTCTTGAGGCCCTTTGGTTTTTCAACCCACATTTCTACAAAAACAAAAAAAAAAAAAAAAAAAAGAAGCAAATCGTGAGTGACCTATCTACGCAGGGGAAATAAGTGAAAGCAAGTGATAACTTACCTTTCTCAAGAATGGTAAGAAACTTGGCGTTGTCCTCATAGAAGTCGTACGTCTTCAAGTGAGAAAGTGAAATGACCTCGTTAACGTTGCGTTGTCCGTTGGGAAAGTCATTGAAACGTTGGAGCCTCTGCAAGCTTGCAGTAGGGAGATAGTTTTGCTTGACGTTATCTGCAAAGCAAAGTAACTCAGTTAGCTTAAATATAGAGTTTGAAAGTGATCATCACACGCACCAGGAGTCGAAGTCTTACTCGCTTCCAAAGCGAAAACACCGGTCTCCTGAGCCTCATAAAAGAAAATTAGGAGTCCTAATACGAGATCTTCTTTGGGACATCGACCAGCCCATTGAAACGTACCTTCCTTGCTTTGGAAATGTAGTATGACTGGTCTTGCCCTTTCTTTAGTCTATATAGATGAAGAGGTCCTCGACGAATGACTCACTCAAATCGGCGATCATGTATACTATATATAGACCTATGATTATGACATATGAGTTCGCGGACAGCTGGAGAGGAACGATGTCGAACCGTCTCAAAACGTTGTCAATAAAATAATGAGGGGGAAAAGATACCTCGCATCTCAGGAGGGTCTTAGAGATTGCCACCCATCCGGGTGGGGGATTCTTTCAAGAAGAATCCTCAAGAACCATCAAGTTGAGTTGCGGTGCATAAGTCTCTCTTATGCGCCTCAGGTCCTCGACGTTAATCAAGGATTATGGTTTCCTCTACAGCCTATGAACTGGAGACTTCTTGGACTATGCCAACTGTACTGAGGCATGATTGGTCGAGCCCGCCATATCGGGGTCCTAGCTCAGCGTCACGATTTACTTGGAAACCTCAAGGATTATACCCCCGAGGACTATCGAACCTGTAAGTGAATCGAACATGCGATCAATCGTGTGCTTGCTGGATGAAGACATAATTAAAGCTCGCTTCTGGGTACTTGAAACTGAAGTGAACATGTGTCAAAGCTCAAAAGACTCGACGACCTATCCACACTTTGCTTTCAATTCAAGCAACTGAGATAGCTCACGCTAGACGACGAATGCACGCGACCTATCCAGGATTTCAGCGGCCACCACGTTAAACCCTCCTTAAACCCAAGACCACCGAAGACACGCTTAAAAAGTAAACCCTTAGAAGGCTCAATGTGGCCACGATAATGGCCACCCTTAGCCGCAAAAATAGAGAAGGCAACTAAAGAGAGGGAAAGAAGCTTTATTGGAATAAGAGAGTGGGAAGAACTCGCCGGAAAGAGTACCGTGACGACAATGAAGCAGCAACAGAATAAGCAAAAGACGTCAAAGAATTTTCACAAGTTGAGTGAGTGTCTGACGACTTCACTCATTTTTATAGTACCTTACATGGGAGACGAAAAGGCGGGGTTCGATCGTAGCTGTCAATCTATAATGAATCCCAACCCTCTATTTATCGAGAAATCCTAGCCCTTGGACGTGGCCACTGTCAACCATTAGCGAGGGGCGATGAACTATCAGACTGTTGCAATCATAACTGTCATCGCACGTCGCCTCAACTCCGCGCGTGGACAACTGTAGTCGCCCACGCATGATGAAACATGACTGCCAAAAGGCAGCTGCATTTAATGGGACATAACCACGTGGAATTTACATAATTTTCCTAACCATTCATATTCCAAGTTTGACAGGTGTCACAGAGGAGAGAAGATCCAAGTGTGAAGTACGTCGACCGGCAATGGGTTTTACCGTCGAAGCTCGACCAAACCACGTCTGATGGCCCACTAACGACACCGAGCTTGATGTTAAATCGAGCAATAGTCTTCAAAGCTCGAAACAAGCATCGAACACTAGGGGGCAGTTGTTGTGTGTGATTTTTCTACCAAGCTTGGAGCATCGCAAGGATATAGTTCTATCTAGAACCAGCTCAACTCCACCGATTGTCCGACCCAACATAAGTTCGTCAAGATATAGCTCGATCCAGCACAAGCTAGTCGCGAACAATCCAAGTGATCATTCAACCAATTCCTAGATAACTTCATATCCTAGATATCTTGGGAATGATCAAATTAATAGTAATCTTTGCGCAATCACAATGCTTAATCGCGAGAATATCGGAGTTGCATTTCAATTTAATTGTAATCTCTTTATTTTCGTTATTTTCTTTGTACAAACTCTATATATAAAACCCCTCAAACAATATTGAGGAAGGGGTTGGAAAATATTCCTAGAATCATTATTGTAAGCTCTCACAGTAAATTAAAAGAATAGTGGACGTAGGCTCAAGAATTCATCTCACTAAACCACTTTAAAATTCTTTTTGCCATTTACTTTATTGTATTTATTATTCATTCATTATTGATTATCCGTAATCACGCACATACCAATTCCGATTCCACCAAGGTTGATTAAGTTACTCTAGTTGGCACAGATTTTTGTATTAACAAATTAAAGTGGCAAATATGAATTAGAGGAAAAGAGCTTGGACTTTGGAGGTGGAACCTCCTATTATAAGCCTAGTTGCAATTGATATTGATATCCTGGAAAAGGTAACGGAGTTAGGAAGGGGGAGCAAGGGTGGTTACTGGTGTGTCTTCTCCAACGCTCAAGTCAATCTACAGTGTGATAAGGGTGAATCAAATAAGCATGAACTTCCAAGAGTAAAGAAGAATTCTTTACGTTTTGTGAGTGTTTGTGCCTTGTTCAAAACTACATCCTCATGGACCTCATCCTTAATTTATATACGTAGACTTCTTAGAGATTAGACACGTGTAAGAGATAGTGGCATTTGTGATTTCTCAAACCATTTTTTTGACCTTGATAGATCCCAAACCCTATTCATTGTCTTAGGTGGGAGACTAGACTTGAGTTGACATTTGACATGACGGATTGGCTCAGTGTGGCCTCCCTACGTGTTGTAGAGGACTCATAGAAGCAAATTATCCCATAACAGAAACTGTACACCAATTTATGCAAGACAAATGAAACGAGGATGGGATTTCAAAATCTCATCACCTCATTGGAGAGAGTCACTAGATTATATGGGCGAGAGATTTTTTTTCATTAGTAGGAGATGTTTTTAAAAAAGCCGAAAAACAAAATTGTATTAATCCAATAATATCTGAAATTTATTATTAAGAAAAATCAAATTTGATGATATATATAGTAGTTGTATTAACATTGTGCTAATACCATAAGCATCTTTTTTGTATTATGGAGTATCCACATCAGATAAATTATTTTATTCCTAAGAAAAATAAAAATGGTAATATGTCTTATAGTGTAAAGGAATTCCACCAATCGAGATTCCTATTTGCTGTGCGCCATTAGTTTTAACTTTAACTCTAAGCCGTCTCTATATATATATATCATTCACAATTTCACACTCTTCACTCATAATTACTCGCCCTTCCTTCTCTTTTCACATCTCAATACCAGTAACTCTTTCATGGCTTCCTTAGCATTTTCGGCTATGGGTCGCTTTCTAACGCAGTCCTCTGATCAGACGGTTTCAGATTATAAGTCTGACCAGAGTTTCTCCTCAGGGAAGGGCATATTTGCTAGGAAACAAGACTCTAGAAATTTAGCAGTCACAAACGTTGCAAGCCCACACAGGCCAGTGATTGCCCCATTGCCGGAAAAAGAAAATTTTGTTAACCAGCATCATGTTGCATGGACAAGCGTTAGACAGGAACGATGGGAAGGAGAGCTGGATGTGGAAGGAGAAATACCCCTATGGCTGGTATGTTACTTCTAAACTAGTTTACTAAGATATATACCTTCTCTTATATTGATATATGCGTTGCAAGTGTAAATGATTCAGACTGTATTGAGACTAGACCAATACGAGCTAAATACCCCTATTATTTTGGTGGCCATTAACCACTTCAGACAAACAATAAAGGATTCTACTTTACACGTTTTCACCACTTATTTATTGCTGCTTCAGAGAATTTAATGAAAGACGTTCAGTGATCCTTTTCCTCTTACATCTATTGCTGACTATAACACAGAAAGAAGATAAAATCTTATTCATTCAATAAATATAAGAAGAGAAAAGAAATCTGCTTCAGGTGTTAAACAGGATTTTAGTCATCAACTTCTATTTTATTCCTAGAATATAAAGATACTTGAAGATGATTCAGATTACAGAGTTTTGTTTAAACAAACAACTTTCTTTTTTATTTATTTTCTGAGCATAAGTACCTTCTAGGTGTATGACAACAACCGCATATTCTCTACAATGAAATAATGATGAAATGATAATAATAATCAATAACTATAATATAATGTTTTCTTAGATATAGTGATGCCCAATGATATGGCTTGTATAGTTGGCTTGGAAAGAACAGTATACTTTGTTTAACCCAATATAATAATAAAACTTCAAAACTCTACGGCAACTTCATACCCTATTATTCGTCTTCTCATATATATATACCAACAAAATCTAATTTTAAACAATATCTCAGGTGCCTCGGAAATACGTGTCTCATTCCAGAACCACATTAAAGAATAAATTTTATTCTTTATAATATTTCCCTGTAGAAAAATTTAAAAAGAAGAATTTTATATATAGTATATCAATTAATTAATGATCCTACTCACATGCAGAAAGGCACATACCTAAGAAATGGTCCTGGTCTGTGGCACATTGAAGACTACAACTTCCGGCACCTCTTCGACGGCTATGCCACTCTAGTCAAGCTCTACTTTGAAAAAGGTCGCCTAATCGCCGGCCACCGTCAAATTGAATCTGAAGCCTACAAAGCTGCAAAGAAGAATAAAAAGTTATGTTACCGTGAATTCTCAGAGGTTCCAAAAACTAATAACTTCTTATCTTACATTGGGGATCTTGCAAACCTCTTCTCTGGTGCATCTTTGACTGATAACGCCAATACCGGCGTGGTTAAACTTGGAGATGGACGTGTTGTTTGCTTGACGGAGACACAAAAGGGCTCCATAGTTATCGACCCGGACACACTGGACACAATAGGAAAGTTTGAGTACAGTGACACATTGGGGGGTTTGATTCATGCTGCTCATCCCATTGTGACTGAGAAGGAGTTTTTAACGTTGTTGCCTGATTTAATAAACCCGGGGTACTTGGTGGTGAGGATGGAGCCGGGGACTAATGAAAGGAAGGTGATTGGGCGGGTCAATTGCCGAAGTGGCCCAGCACCCGGCTGGGTGCACTCTTTTCCAGTCACTGAACATTATGTGGTCATTCCTGAGATGCCCTTGCGATACTGCGCGCAGAATTTGCTTAGGGCTGAGCCCACACCACTATACAAGTTCGAGTGGCACCCTGAGTCTAAAGGGTTTATGCATGTTATGTGCAAAGCTAGTGGCAAAATTGTAAGTCCATTATCATCACTGTGTTCTATGGTTTGATTCCTTAATTTGTTATAAAAGTAGGTTAATTTTGTGGTTGAATTATTATAATAAAGGTGGCAAGCGTGGAAGTGCCATTGTTTGTGACATTCCATTTCATCAATGCATACGAAGAGAAAGACGAAGATGGAAGGATGACAGCGGTTATTGCTGATTGTTGTGAACACAATTCAGATACAACAATCCTGGATAAACTTAGACTGCAAAACCTCCGCTCATTCAATGGTACCGATGATGTACTGCCGGATGCAAGGTATGTGATATGTATAATTCTCCCGGCATATTTATATAATTAATTAATACCTTTTACCCAATTTACTTAAGAGTTTTTTAAATTTTTTGTTGGCTCGTGATTGTCCTACTACTAGTTTCAAGCCAAGCCATCACGGTGCTTCCAACACACTGTCCCATCAGTCCAGGAAAAAAAAACAAAATCAAAAACAGAAAGTATCTCTCTACCTGTATGTAAATTGAAGGAATTCTGTTTTGTTCCAAGATGACGAGGCTACCATCCCGTGCACTAATTAAAATTTCGGATTTCCATTTAATGCCATCCAAAATCTGAGATGGGGCCAAGGGTTCCTCTAATAACTAAACTAGTTTACGTTAATTTTGCTTTGTTGCATGCATGAACCTGAAGTATATATATTTTCTATTTAAACTTAAACCCTTCCTAGCTCGTCCTAATATAAACAAGAGATTCCCTTATTCCATAACATTTTGTACAAGTCCACAGATATCTAGCTAATTTAATTAGCAAGTACTTACATTTAAGCATAAATCCAAATAGTGTATCATCATGGGATAATAAATGATCAACTTTTGAATACGATCAAATTAAACAGGGTTGGAAGGTTCAGAATACCATTGGATGGGAGTCCATTTGGAAAGTTGGAGGCAGCGCTCGAACCAGATGAACATGGAAGAGGAATGGACATGTGTAGCATTAACCCTGCATATTTGGGGAAAATGTACAGATACGCATATGCTTGTGGAGCCCAACGTCCATGCAACTTCCCCAACACTCTCACTAAGGTAAACTCAGCGGCGCCACCCACTTGGCCACTTCCACTGGCTAGTACCAGTACTAGTAAAACCACAAGTGGCCCCCGGGTTTTTGAGTCTTTGGTTGATATTAACGCGTAATTAATTATTTATTGCAGATTGATTTAGTGAAGAAAAAGGCCAAGAATTGGTATGACGAAGGAGCTGTCCCCTCAGAACCTTTCTTTGTGGCTCGCCCAGGAGCCACAGACGAAGACGATGGTCAGTGCTTCCGTTCTTTATTTCTTCATTAGTTATCAACTAAAATTTTGGTCCATAGCCCAAAAGAAAAACTGATAAAGAATATCAAAGTTCAAAACAAATTTACTGTTTGACCACGAATTGAGACACTTTTACCTTAATAATTTCCTGCCCCAGCTAGTTTTAGGAACAACTGACAATATTTATATATTGGCAGTTTTTTTTTTTTTTTTTTTTTTTTTTTTGGACCACGGCATAGGTTGAAGAAAATCAAGCATCTTTCTTGGAACCCTAATTTACAAATATTAAATAATAATAATATACGGCTTATATATATTAGTCACTTAAATTATGATACTGACAGGATGTATATATAACATGCAAAATATCTCTACTGAAATCTTCTCCATAATGATATCTTCGTACTTTTAACAAATATTGGACATAATACAGGCGTGGTAATCTCCATGATCAGTGAAAGAAATGGAGGTGGGTATGCATTGTTGTTGGATGGATCCACATTCGAAGAAATTGCTAGAGCAAAGTTCCCCTACGGTCTACCTTATGGGTTACATGGATGTTGGGTTCCAAAAAACTAAAATTCCAGGCCTAGCTACATGTATATTTTATATATTGCTCTATACTTCTATCTACGAGTGAGAGTGAGATCAATCTAGTTGATGGGTAGCTGTGTGATCTTATTGTGTAATGTATTGTTACAATTTTGTAAAGCTTTCCCAATTACAAATATATTATATCATAGATTACATTAGTTTACCTTTTAACAAATGGCACATAATAAATGATGACTACTTCACAAATGCCTTAGTACAGGAAGATTGGATTTCGTTTGCATGGCGTAAGAGATGATCTAAATGTCGAAAAACTATTTATATTATCAGGTGAAATACTCCTTTAATTAATGCTGGATCAAACACCTTTTTTTGGTTCATATCCCACTAGGAGTAGGAGATAGTTCTTTTCCAGTTTGAACAGAAAGATTAAAAAACATTACAATTCAATAACCTGAGAGAGAGAATATGGTTGCATTGAAATTTGAAGGGCTTAAATGATGTATCAGGAACTACTCCTTTTCCTATTACTAATTAGACAAAATCAAATGATTAATCATCCCAAAACAAATGGGTAAATTCAGCTCTCTGTTTTCTTCCAGTTTCAGTAATCATATATGAAAGTATATAATATCCCTCCCTACCTCTACGGCTCTACCTTTCCTCCACATCAAAGAAGGCCCAAGCCAAGACTTGCTCTCCGAACAACAGTGAGGCCGTCAGAGTTACATAGTCAAATGAAGACTCCACACTCTGGAAAAATAAAATATTCTGAAGACTGTCATGAAAGCATCAAAACCTAAAATTCAATTGTTGAGATGGTGTTAGAAGATACAGCTTTGATCACTTCTGGTCAGTATAAACAGCATCAACATCATCAAGCTCAAGTAATTTAGACATAAGTTCCTTGTTCAAATCCATAGCTTCTTCATCTGCCTGAAACGAACCCAGTAACACATTAATGCCAGCATCTCGCTTCATGCAAATGGAAAAGTATAAAAGAAAATGCAATTCTTTGAACAGTCAATTAGAAAACAGCTGCAAAATTAATGTATATTTTCATTAGTCTATAGCAAAGCACATTACTAAATCATTGTGCATGAGAATTACATATGACAAAAGGCCTTAGTTAAGGGGGTAAGCATTCTCAATATCTAGCTAGCACACATTTCCAAAATTAAATCTGTCTCTCATTTAACAACTAAACAATGCATTATACAAATGAATGACACAGATTGGAAAAGGCAGTTCCAATTATTTGAATGGAAACTCAAACTATAGAAATGGGAAAACCCAGAACTAAAAGATGAGGCAAGAATTATTAACATCATGATGTTGAAGCAACCTAGTTTTTAAAAAAAAAAAATATTAATCCATGCATAAATCTATATGGCATTCAGAGTTTTCTAAAACCGTTATCTAGGTTACTGTTGGTTCAGAACACCAGCAAAAGTGTCAAAATCAAACATTTTCACAATTAGGGTATGCTTGATTTGAAGATCTGAAGTAAGAGTGGATTTGGGATCCATAAAGTCAGAAACCTACGTTATGAGAAAAATGATGTAATAACATCTATTGTTTATCATAGTATCCAGATATCTCTCCCAACAGCTTGGCAAAGAAACAGTGGGAAGATAAGCGTAGTCAGTTGCTGTTTGCTGTGTATGAAAAAGTAGAATGTATTTACATGGCTTTGAAGATAATGGGACAAGAAAGATGATAAATTAGAGAACTTTAAGTTGTATACATTGCCTATGACAATCTTTCTTCAATCACTCCAAGTGGCTGCACGGAAGGAAAATTTCTTTGACATCAAATACTTATATCCAATCATTCCACAAAATAACAGAAAAAAAGAAAAAGAAAAAGAAAAAAAAGTTACTGATTAAAGAGAGTATACAGAGCAGAGAACCATGCAAATGCCAGAAACAGACCTCTATAGTGCTTATGGGAAGCAACTCAGATCCATTATCAGTCTCAAACATTATTCTTTCCTCACGTAGCTTTGATAGTATGGCTGGGTAGTTCTCAGCCGAACTTACAATTTTATAATAGCTGCCAGAGAAACCAACAAGAATTAAGAACCTTCTCATTAGAGTAGCAGAGTTTAATAATATGGGGGAATACGGGAATAGTGGGGTGCAGTAGAGAATTTCACAAGCAAGCATACCTTACATCAATTTACACAGATAATTCTTAACACAACCAAAAGTGGGGGTTTTCCCAAGAGAATTCCATGGAATGCCTCCTCAAAATCTTAGGGTGCACAATGTTTTTGTTTACCCTTTTATTCATTTTCTAATAGATAATAGATGGAATAGTTTTTTTTTTTTTTTTTTTTAATTATTTTAGCTATCTTTGTAACAAATAAAATTGCGTAGGTCCGAAAGTTTATATAAAACCTTTCATACCATAAAAATTCAACTTTCCAAACATAAGTAGCCATCTCCAATTCCTTGAGAAGGATATTTCTACTTCATTCCCACCTAGCATCACAACAATTAGGCGTTGAATACAAAAATTCCTACCATGATCTGTAGCTTGAATAGTACAAAGGTGAAACAAAAACTGAAGATATCATGTTTCATCCAAAAAAAAGACTTAAATGCACCACACGTCAGTATCCATTACCCTTCCTCCAGTATATTATCCGGTATTAAGGAAAGTAATGGCAGAATAAGTAGGATAAGTATGAGATGATAATAATAGCAGAAAGTAGAGCTGAAGCAGGAAAAAACAGATCAGGAACATAACATCTTCTAACAAAAGACAGAGGAACTGGAGCACTACCTTTCTGACCTATCTTCATCAGTATCATCTTCATAAACAGGGGGTTCAATAACATCCTCAGCACCAGCATCTAAAGCAATGGCAAGGAGCTGGTCTTTGTCAGCATCTGTGACTTTTATATTTACAACACGAACACGTCTGAACTTGAACATAACAGATCCTGGATCTGCCATCTTTCCTCCATAGTCCTTCACAACCTCTCTAACAGATGCCACAGATCGATTAATTTTATCCGTAAGGACTTCAACTACCATACTAACTCCTCCATAACCATAAACCTGAAAATAGTAGAATCACTTTACGTGAAAGCCAACAAATGTACCCTAACCATTAAAGTCAGGAAAGATATTAAGAGTATCAATTCAACCAAAACAACATTTACTGATCAATCATCATAAATTCATAACAGCATTAATATAAAATTAGTGGTTGTTATAGATATCACCTCATATATTTTCTCAATGTAAGCCTCTTGTCCCTTCTCAGTAGCTCTCTTAATGTTGCGTTCCAAAATATCTTTGGGTACATCCAGCTCCTTGGCTTTCTCAAGTACAGCAGCCAGAACCGTATTTGAAATAGAACTTGGACCACCTTTCTTAACACTGCATCATCGGATACAATGACAATGATTTAGTAAGTTCTTTCAATCATTGGAACTCCAAGGTTATCATAAGCAGAAAGGCTGTCATAAAACCAACAGGAAATAAAAAGGTAGCTATAATGTTAAAATCCCAAAACAAGGGAGTTGATTTGAAAATATAACATTTAAAAGAATAATCTCTTTGCAAGAACTTCACACCAATAAACTAAAAAAAGCAATGTTGTATACTCTAGATTAATTTTCAGCTTAGCAACTAACTTACGCAGATATGACTTCCTTTCCCATCCTTGAGTACAATTTTGCCTTCTTTGCATCTTGAGCCCCCTGCATTAAAGGCTTATTCAGAAAACTATGTAGAAGGCCAGAGAAAAAATGTAGTCAAGAATCTAGATATCCACAAGCACAAACCAGCCATCATATCGATCTTAAAATTACCATAATCAATATATACTTGCATATATTACAGCATGCTTCAACGTCAAAGAAATTATTATTCAATTCAGAATCATTCCAAAATAAATTTTCACTTTCTTACTACAACATAAATGCAGAGGAGTCCCTATACCATTGCTAAATGATATCTGACAGACATAATCAATATCCGACAAGTTACATTATATATACAATTAGTGGCACTATAAACCACACAAACTTCTAAAACTCTAGCATACAAGAGTAATTTGATGACAAGAATCTGACTGAGGTCTTTTATCAAATAAGTGATGTTCCAGTGAACAAAAAAGCTAGTCAATAAACAAAAACAAATACTCAAATAGAGAGTGTAGAGTGAGAGAGAGACCTTTCGGCCAGCAATTTTGCAGGAACGCCTGCCCATACAAACAGGAGGGAATGTCCGTATCGTCCTGAGCTGATAGTTACAGTATTTCACTTCATATAAGTGAACCCATGAAGATGTTGATGATGCTGATGAAAATTGATTCCCGCTAAGCAAACAATTTTTAGAAAGAGCAAATGAATTGAAAGAGCATTTTGAAGAGGCGCCATTTGAGATTCTATGAAGAATAGCACCAACTGCTCTCATTGACGAATGTGTCCCCATGTTTTAGCTCCGCTTCTTAGTTCTTTACACTTCTAAATCTAGCTCCTGTAGCGGTGCAAATTTAATCTATGTATTGGATTGATTGTTTGTAGGCTGTGGCATCAAGTTGGTGACTGACTTATGTGTGTCAGCGTTCATATGCAACCGGAAATACATCCGTACACGTGGCAGAGGTTCAGTTACTGGGCTCATGATTGATGAACCCATCTTACATAAATTTCTACTTTTTATTATTTTTTTTTCGAACTTCTTGTATTTGCATCGCCGCTCTCTTCATCAAATAAATTAAGAATCAACTTCACGTTTGCGCGGACTGTGAGACACTATATTGATCAAAATTTTAAACTAAATGAAACCGACAATTTATAAAATCAGTCACAATCTATATATATAGATTGTGACTGATTTTATAATATAGATTATGACTTGACTTTTATAAATTGAAAAATTTTTGTTGGAAAATTTTAGACTAGGAATTGTAGAGCTTTACCCCGGAGGGAGCCCTTCCAGAAATTCTCGATGGCCTGAGCGTAGCCCAGGCCAACGAGGGGGTTTGGAAATAGTTTTCAACCAGCAATAGACGCGCCTCGGTTAGAACCTCACTAGCTGCGTCATTGCCCCAAGCGCAAAGATGCTTTTTGAACGTCGAGCACTGGCAATTTTATATACATTTCACATGACTCTCTTATCGAACACTGCCGATGTGGGATTAGCCTTTATGCGATTTTAACTGACTGCACTGTCCTCATTCTCCTGAATTACCGTTCATTACGAGGGGTTTGGCGCAAATCCAAAGTTCAGAATAACCAATCAAGCGTACAGACGGAACCTAAAATCTGATGGCACTAGGACTTGCGCAAACTGTGTCCAATTAACGGCAATTTTCTTTTGCCTTGTGTCTTTATGGATGTTCCCTTGATAGCTGATACTTTTTTTTTTTTTTTTTTTTTTTTCTATGAACCTATTTGTTTTCCTTAGACATGAGTCCTAATCAACCTCGGATGCCTCAATATTTCAATATTTTCATTAAACCCATTGTAGATGGAGACAAGGCTATGGAAAATCGATAGAACAGGCTCTTTATGGTTGATACCTGCAACTGGTTCCTCTCAAATGAGACAATAGCATCAACATAAAGCAACTATACCTGTGCACGCTTACCTGCATGTGAGACAGAGAACGGAAACCAGCAACAAAGTAATAGCAACCTTTCAACGATTATAAATCAACAAGCATCTTTTACTTTCATATTATTAATATTAAAAATACAAACTAAAAAAACAATTTATGGAAAGAGATCGATGCCTAATCTTCCTTTCATACAAATCATGCGGCATGACATGGGGGATCAAAGAAAATCAGACTTCTACTTTCCATCCGTTACAAGCTTAAACAGAATGACATTTATTTTTAAGAGTTAAAGAAAAAATCCTTCGATTATGAGTTCAGCTTAAGCATATAATTCTCAACCAACAGCTGTGGAAACAAGAAAATTTGCCTCAATTAGTTAGATGTGTGGAACACACATTCTTCCCTGACAACTATCCAAGTTTCCTTCAATATGAGTTGATCATTTTTGCTTGATTACCAAATAATCTAAACATATCATCTAAACTCAAAAGTAAAGATACATAAACTAAATCGCATATTTGATTCTATAGCAGCTTGATTTCATCCAGTAATGGGCTGGGTTACATGAATAGACTCGTACCCTACAAACAAAAAATGAAAAGGAGTTAAATTTGTAAAATCAAAACCAATACCATTTTCTTTGTCATGAAATTAACTATAATGAAATTATACTCTGAGCAGCAGTAAAAGGACAAGTAATAGATACATTATTTAGCACTTAAACTGATAACCCTACTTTTTCAACATATTTGATCTCCCTATAAGCATGCTTCAGCAATCAAAACTACATATGGACTAATTTGTAATCCCCATACATGGCTCTTTTTGGTTGAAGGAACTAATATAATTAGTGAATAAGCCTTATACTGAAGCTATGTACCAATCTTTATACAGTCTTTGGAGAGTTAGATTGTCATGATTAGGAAGAGAGAATCCAATCAAGTAAAAAGCGTAATACACGGCCAAACACATAGAGAACCAAAAACAAAGACAAAGCTAATACTATCCAATCAGATTAGAATCAATAAAACTTCGACCAGAGAAAAGAAAAAAAGCAGTAGAATAACCTCACAACTGCATGTAATAATGTTAAACCAATAATCAGCTGTCTAGATCTTAAAACTTCCTACTCTCCGAAGATATCTTGCACAACCTAATTATCATCCCATTCTATTACATTTTTCATTTCACTTTAACAATTGTCTAATAGAAGGCAAATCTTGATCAACATTAACCAACCTCACCATCTCATCTGGAGAGGGAGAAACATTAACTATCCACACTCGGCCAGAATGACTAAAAAAAATGCACCGGGCACTCTTTTTCAGGAGATGGACTAATTATCTGCTCTCTTAGTAAAGGTGATATAATGCCCCCTCCCTACCCCAACCTTACACTTTGTTAAGTCGAAAATTCAATAAAGACAGTGTACACCATTGCCTTATACATAATTCAAGAGCAAGAACACATATACTAAATGAATTAAACATCTATTCACCTATTAACAATATATAAATCTTGCTTTAATAGATACAATTCACAGTAATACTGAAGGAAAACACTCAACAGGTGTATATATATGATGCTTCCCTCAAAATCAGGGTGATAAATGAAACTAATTTTAATAGAATGGAATCAAACCACATAAATTTTACCTTCTTGTTAATCTATCATTTCCAATGTATATGACAGAATCTGCTAATGTTATCCTGCATTGCTGGCGGTATCCAAATTCTCAACCCTTTATCAAGCACAATGTGCCTCAATGACTGGCGTGCAAGCACTGTATCCAAGTCATCTACTTTGATATTGTAAATAGAAGCCAACCCTAGACTTTCCAAACACTCATGGTTTCCAAGAGCACGAACCCCGACTCCTGTGATCAACTCACACCCTGTTAAATCAATGGCCAGCAAATTGTTACAATTCTCAGCAATTGCAACTAGTGTAGTATCCGACACATTAATCAACCAAGAAAAGTTCAATTTCTTAAGAGTCCTAATTGAAGCAACAGCAAGACCACCTAAATCAGTCACTTTTGGTCCACACTCAGCTAAATTCAACTCCTCCAACCAACACATTTGCTGCAAAAGAGACACTCCACGATCAGTAACTCTATCACATTCCGCCATAACCAACTTCTTCAACGATTTTGAGCAAGACCCATTTGCTAAGAAAGACAATCCGTTATCCGTTATCAAAGTACAACCATCCAAATTCAAAACCCTAATCGACTTTGCCATCCCAATTGCTTCTAATGCTTGATCACCAATCAAACTACATCTTCCTAAATCCAAATTTGTCAAACTTTTGGATGAATTATTAATAATCGAAAGAACAGCAACATTCCCGATATTTCTTCTCTTTCTTAATAAAACTTTGCACAAATTTCGACAACCATTAGCTAGAGCACAAACACCATCGTCACCAAAGTTATCCCCACTGGACGAATAATCATGGTCGTAACTTTCATTTGTTTCTTTGAAATTAAGACTGAAATTCTGGATCTTCGGACAGGTTTTGGCTATAAATTCGAGGTGGGCATCGGTGAGTAATTTTGATGATTCAAATGTGACTAAGTTTGGGAATCTTGGTAAAAAACGATGAAGCGAATCGGGTTCAAGAACTCGGATTGATGATCGGTTCTCGCCCTCGACTCTGAGCCATTGCTTACAAACAAGAGAGAAAGAGTTTCTGTCTTGATCATTGAGACGGTCGTGGATTAAGCTTAGCTCATCGTCACCAAGTGTTGACATGACCTCAAACCCTAACTAAAAACTGTGGATTAATGGAAAGAGTAAATGGTAAAGCAATTGTTTGGTAATGGGAGTTGAAACCTGAAAGAAAGAAAGAAAGCCACTTTAGAGAAGCGAGGAGATGTGGTGAGCGTCAGTTTAATGGTGAAATTCTTTGCTTCAAAATTCAAATGCCACCCTCCCCTTCTACGAGCTTTCCTCTGTTGAAAACAAGATTTATCCTCATACCTTATCAAAACCAAAAATAAAAATAATATTCTAAGCTTCACTCACTCTCTCAACTGTTTTGGACTGACAGTGACAGCTCCTCACTAAAATATTTTTATTTAGAGAATTAATTATAGAAAATATTGAGAATGCTTGGAGAGGAAGCATGTACCAGTGTTGCGTGAGCAAAGCCATGTGGGTTGGTTGTTGTTTTTATTTTCATTTGATTTTCAACATTCCACTTTAGAGGCTAAGCTAGGGCAAGGTGTTTAGCTGTCCAAAATTATCCTAACAACTGTCTTTGCATCATAATAATGCTTTTGTTTGCATCCCCAGCTAAGCTTGTATTACTTTCCATAAAATAATTAATGCCCGTATTAATTTCTTTCATTGGACAAGCATGAAATTTATAATTCAAAATCAGGAGTGGATTAATTTATTCAAATACTTAATGCAGTAATATTGTATCCTTCCATTCCATGTGTCATTGATTGACATTAGAAAGACATAAAGAGCACAGTAGCTAATGATTGGCAACAATGGAAGCGATAGAAACTTAAGTTTTACTTGACCTCTTATCATCATCACCTAAATGCTAATACATAGTAAAATACACGACCTTTACTTAAAACTCACGGTATAGGGATGGGCATAAGCTCATTTGGGGGTTTTACGTCTTTCTGGATTCTTATTATGATTTTCCTCGTATTATAATATACCATCTAAAAATAAATTAATTTTATAATATACGTATTAAACATAAAGATTATATTATTAAAAAAAAAATTATAATATATATATTAAACATAAAAACCAACATACTAAATTAATAATATATTAATAGAATTGAAATAATGATTCAACGATGCCATAAAGGACAAAAAAAAATTATAATGATTTATTGATTTATTATAATCAATCAAAACAACAAATAATATATTACTCATAAATAACATATATATTATATATTAACATATGATTATAGATAATAGTATATATAATCTATAACATATATGTTATATATTTATATTTATATACCATATATAATGTACAATGTATAATGTCAAATGTATGCTATGTATAATATATAATATCAAATGTATAACTTTTGTTTCATAGCATTAACATATTATGTATATATATATATATAGGACAAGCCGGGGATTTCGGGGTTAGGGTTGGCCCCAGCCCATCCGTGAATTTCGAGACTAATTTTGGGCCTGATCTTGGCCTAAATCTCAAATGATTCGAGGAAACTTCGTTTCATTTGGGGTAGGTCCTACGGGGCTAGGTTTTATAACTATCCTTATCATATTATGGTTTAATTTAGTTGATTGAATAGCTAAATACAATAATAGAATTTCTAAGGGACTGGTCCGATGATTAAAAAAAAATTATTTTTTTATTAACTTTTTAAGTTTAAACCACTTTGAATTTACTTATCACGTTTATGATTTATTTAAGTATTAAACTTACAAGACGTTTAATGAGTTTTAAAAATTGATTGTGTACAAACTTACTAAAAAACACTGGTTCTCACAATACAGTAGCTGTGTCAACATCCACCTAGTAATACCAACATCTTTCTTTCTTTCTTTCTTTCTTTCTTTCAATAAAGTAAAGTTATATCGTAAAAGTGTGGGCCCCCTCAGGCCCACCAAAGAAGGATCCACTGCCCAAATCCACGCGCCTTCTCTATTTCATTCTCATTTCCATGTGCTTTTATTTTAATTGTTTGAGGTGGGAAATACAAATAATTTTTTATTAATTACTGATGTAACAATTAAAATTAGAAATAAAGAATAAGTCATTGTTTGTACGTTTGAGTTTTGACATTTACACGATTTAATTTAATTTAATGATAAATAAATAAATAAAATAAAAAAAGAATACTCATCTCTCTCAGCTTTTACATTAGAGTAGTTAGTTGTTGAGTTTGAGTCCATTGAGAGACATAGAACAACAATGGCTCACCTCTTCAGAGACCTCTCCCTTGGTCACTCCAAGAGAGAGTCAACACCCCCACCGCTAACACAACAACGCCCACCGCCGCCCCTCACAATGCCTCCCAGACCAATCACCAATCTCCCCTCTCCCTTTGGCCAACTCGCCACTCAACTATCCGATTCCGACCTCCAACTCACCTCTTATGAGATCTTCGTCGCCGCTTGCCGTACTTCCACCGGTAAACCCCTCACTTACATCCCTAACAACTCCACCGACTCACCCAACCACCACAACTCCAACTCTCCCAGTCATAACTCCCCTACGCTCCAACGCTCACTTACTTCTGCGGCTGCTAGCAAGATGAAGAAGGCGCTCGGCTTGAAGTCTCCCGTCTCTAAGAAAAGTCCCGGTTCCGGCCCGGGAAAGTCCAGGAAGGCTATGACTGTAGGTGAGTTAATGAGGACTCAAATGGGAGTTTCTGATACCGTTGATTCAAGAGTACGAAGAGCTTTGCTGAGGATCTCTGCTGCTCAGGTTAGCTTAATTTTATATCCTTAATTTGGGTTGATCTGGTTTAATTTCGATGTAATTAGAACTAAATTTAATTTTTTTTAATTGATCTGATGGATGCAAATATGTATGCAATTGTAAGCTGTGGTAGGTAAATTGGATTATGTTTGTTTGATTTAATGCAGGTAGCAATTTGATAGCTCTGTATTTGTAGTTGTTTTATTAAAAGATTCTTTCTTTAGTTATTATTATTATTATTATTTAGGTTAATTGAACATTGTTTCTTATGGATGCCATTGTTACAGGTTGGAAGGAAAATTGAGTCAACAGTACTTCCACTTGAGCTATTACAGCAGCTCAAGGTTTCTGATTTTACTGATCAACATGAATATGATGCATGGCAGAAGAGAACACTGAAACTTCTTGAAGCTGGACTTCTTTTGCATCCTCGTGTGCCATTTGATAAGTCAAATGCTGCTGCCCAGCGGCTTAGACAAATCATTAACGGGGCTATGGGTCGGCCCATTGAAACTGGGAGAAACAATGAGTCAATGCAAGTTCTTCGTAGTGTTGTCATGTCTCTTGCTTCAAGATCTGATGGGTCTCTGAATGAGTCATGCCACTGGGCTGATGGATTTCCATTTAACCTCAAACTGTATGAAATGCTTTTAGAAGCCTTGTTCGATCCTAGTTGTGAAACATCAATTATTGAGGAAGTTGATGAGCTTATGGAACACATCAAGAAGACTTGGGTAATCCTCGGGATGAATCAGATGCTCCACAATATTTGTTTTACATGGGTTCTATTTAACCGGTTTGTTGCAACTGGACAAGTTGAACCGGACCTATTGTATGCTGCTGATACTCAGCTAGCGGAAGTTGCAAAGGATGCAAAGGCAACGAAGGATGCAGAGTACTCCAAGATTTTGAGCTCTACATTGACTGCAATAATGAGTTGGGCAGAGAAGAGGCTTCTTGCATATCATGATACTTTTGACAGTGGAAATCTTGATACTATGCAGGGTATTGTTTCTGTGGGAGTATCAGCAGCAAAGATTTTAGTTGAGGACATATCTAATGAGTATCGCAGAAAAAGGAGAGGTGAAGTTGATGTGGCTCGAAGCAGGATTGAGACTTACATCAGGTCATCACTTCGAACTGCTTTTGCTCAGGCAAGTCTTCATTATCTTTCACAACCCATGGTCTCTTTTCTTTTCTATTTTCTAATTTTTTTTATTTTATTTCAACTAGGATGGGCAAAGTTGGCAATAGATCAGCCTTTAGTTAAATAACATTTTGAAATCAGGTTAAGATGGCATTGTTTGAGAGTGTTCAGTTGGATTAACTGCATTGTTCTTAGTATTTAACTTTTTGAGGTCAAAGAATGATTTTGGATATGTTTAATTTTTATTATAGAGAATGGAGAAAGCAGACTCAAGCAGGAGAGCATCCAAAAACCAGCCCAATCCTCTCCCTGTACTTGCCATCCTTGCAAAGGACGTTAACGAGCTGGCAATTAATGAGAGGCAGGTCTTTAGTCCAATACTAAAGAAATGGCATCCTCTTGCAGCAGGTGTGGCTGTGGCAACCCTGCATGCTTGTTATGGTAATGAGATAAAACAATTCATATCGGGAATAGCAGAGTTAACACCAGATGCTGTTCAAGTGTTGAGAGCTGCAGATAAACTGGAAAAAGATCTTGTGCAGATTGCAGTGGAGGATTCAGTAGAAAGTGATGACGGTGGGAAGGCAATTATTCGTGAGATGCCTCCTTATGAGGCCGAAACTGCAATTGCCAATCTGATTAAAGTGTGGATTAAGACAAGAATAGACAGATTGAAGGAATGGGTTGACAGGAATTTGCAACAAGAGGTGCACATTGATTATTAATTCATGAAGTTATTTAGTGTTGATAGACTAGACCTCTTAAGCTATAGATCTGTCTATCAATATCATAAAGTATTCTAGTGATGTCTTGTTTATGAGCTTTTACTTTAGGATTGTTAAGAATAGCAAGTCTCATTGAAATTTTAATGGTATGTGGTAATTTTTGGTTGGCATTGCATCTGTGAAAGAGTTGCTGATTTTGAAGTGGTATAATGTTGAGTCTTAATTATTTCAACTGCATAACACACTAGATCTTTAGATGCTTATGTCCATTTTGAGATAGATTTATTCAAGTATCTGCCTTTTCTTTAACCTGATGAAATGAACTTGTCTAGTCAATTCCTTGGTGCGATGTTTTTCTAGACTTGATTGTCTATTCCTTCTTTTCTTTAGTGCTGTTGTCTGTTGTTTTATAGTTGTTGGTGCTGCTTCTAGGAACTTCTTAGTTGTTAGATTTCATTAATCTCATCTGTCCACTGCAATATTATAGGATTGGAACCAACAACCAAATCAAGAAGGATATGCTGCATCTGCTTTTGAAGTATTGAGAATTATTGATGAAACTTTAGATGCATATTTTCAACTGCCAATACCAATGCACCCAGCCTTACTGCCTGACTTGATGGCTGGACTTGACAAATGTCTTCAATACTATGTAACCAAGGCAAAATCTGGCTGTGGTAAATGTTTATGGAGCTCTTAGATGACCTATATATAATTTCATGTTTTCATGCTGCCTAATAACTCCATCTTTCATTCTTATTTGTAGGATCACGGAACACATATGTTCCTACAATGCCAGCATTGACAAGATGCACTACAGGATCAAAGTTTCAAGGTGTATGGAAGAAGAAAGAGAAGTCACCAAATCCTCAAAAGAAGAATTCTCAGGTTGCCACAATGAATGGGGGGAATTCTTTTGGGGTATCACAGCTGTGTGTCCGTATAAATAGTATGCACCGAATCAAAACTGAATTAGATGCTCTGGAGAAGAGAGTAATCACCCATTTGAGGAACTGTGAGTCTGCACATGCAGAAGACTTCTCAAATAGTCTGGGGAAGAAGTTTGAACTCACGCCATCTGCTTGTGTTGAAGCTGTTCAACAACTTTCTGAGGCAGTGGCATATAAAATTGTTTTCCATGATCTAAGTCATGTTTTATGGGATGGTTTGTATGTTGGGGAGCCATCATCCTCTAGGATCGAGCCTTTTCTTCAGGAGCTCGAACGCAATTTGCTGATCATCTCAGATACCATGCATGAAAGAGTTCGTACACGGATTATAACAGATATAATGAAAGCATCTTTTGATGGATTCTTGCTGGTTTTACTTGCTGGAGGTCCCTCTCGTGCTTTCTCACGGCAGGATTCTCAAATAATAGAGGACGATTTTAAGACCCTTAAAGATCTTTTCTGGGCCAACGGGGATGGCTTGCCAACTGAGATTATAGATAAGTTTTCAGCTACAGTAAGAGGTGTACTTCCCCTGTTCCGTACTGATACAGAGAGCTTGATTGAGCGGTTCAGACGTGTGACCCTGGAGACATATGGCTCTTCAGCCAAGTCCAGGCTACCACTTCCTCCAACCTCAGGACAGTGGAATCCTACTGAACCAAACACGCTTCTACGTGTTCTGTGTTACCGGAATGATGAAGCAGCTGCAAAGTTTCTTAAGAAGACTTACAATCTACCTAAGAAACTGTAGTTAGCTGAGGCAAGGTGGCACTGAAATTGCTGTGCAGAAGATTCTTGTAGTTGTACTACTTGTATTTAGTAAAAGATGGTTCATACAGGTGGTGATCATGTTATATGCTTGGTTGAGATGGATCACTGATTTTGTATAGTAAATTGGAAGTGTTGTGGTCAAGTCCAGCTGTTTATTCGATACTTTTTCAAAGTTGATAAGAGGAGAGAATCGGAAGGGCATGAGAGTGAGAAGGGAAGGTAGGTGGATCATTATTATTATATGAAGAAATCTCTTTATTTGTTGTTTATTCTATGCAGCAGTTGGCAGCATCTTTTTTATGTTCCGAGGTTCATTATTTGTTATTAAATATTTATTATTGGTGATTATTTTTTGTGATAAATACCTTTTGCAGTGGTTTGTCTTCTTCCTTATCAAAGATGCATCCAGAATACATGAGCCTTAATTAAGGATAAGGCTATTTTTGATCGCAATCTCTCCCTCGTATGTGTGTGTTTCTGGTGTTGCGAAATGGACTTAGAATGTAAACAATAATGAATGATCAGTTGCACCCTAAAATAACTTCCATTTTAAATTAAGGAGAGACGTTTTTCCTTGACCCAAAAACTGAAGCAGGATATAATAGCTGTTCGGTTCGGGATAACATACTTATTGAAAGTAAAAATTACGTCAGTTCTCGACTTCTGATTTAGCTGTTTTACAATGATGCTCTTAAGCAATATTCGTGAATGCCTCCTTATGAGGCCGAACTGCAATTGCCAATCTGATTAAAGTGTGGATTAAGAACATGCTTTTATTTTAATTGTTTGAGGTGGGAAATACAAATATTTTTTTATTAATTACTGATGTAACAATTAAAATTAGAAATAAAGAATAAGTCATTGTTTGTACGTTTGAGTTTTGACATTTACACGATTTAATTTAATTTAATGATAAATAAATAAATAAAATAAAAAAAGAATACTCATCTCTCTCAGCTTTTACATTAGAGTAGTTAGTTGTTGAGTTTGAGTCCATTGAGAGACATAGAACAACAATGGCTCACCTCTTCAGAGACCTCTCCCTTGGTCACTCCAAGAGAGAGTCAACACCCCCACCGCTAACACAACAACGCCCACCGCCGCCCCTCACAATGCCTCCCAGACCAATCACCAATCTCCCCTCTCCCTTTGGCCAACTCGCCACTCAACTATCCGATTCCGACCTCCAACTCACCTCTTATGAGATCTTCGTCGCCGCTTGCCGTACTTCCACCGGTAAACCCCTCACTTACATCCCTAACAACTCCACCGACTCACCCAACCACCACAACTCCAACTCTCCCAGTCATAACTCCCCTACGCTCCAACGCTCACTTACTTCTGCGGCTGCTAGCAAGATGAAGAAGGCGCTCGGCTTGAAGTCTCCCGTCTCTAAGAAAAGTCCCGGTTCCGGCCCGGGAAAGTCCAGGAAGGCTATGACTGTAGGTGAGTTAATGAGGACTCAAATGGGAGTTTCTGATACCGTTGATTCAAGAGTACGAAGAGCTTTGCTGAGGATCTCTGCTGCTCAGGTTAGCTTAATTTTATATCCTTAATTTGGGTTGATCTGGTTTAATTTCGATGTAATTAGAACTAAATTTAATTTTTTTTAATTGATCTGATGGATGCAAATATGTATGCAATTGTAAGCTGTGGTAGGTAAATTGGATTATGTTTGTTTGATTTAATGCAGGTAGCAATTTGATAGCTCTGTATTTGTAGTTGTTTTATTAAAAGATTCTTTCTTTAGTTATTATTATTATTATTATTTAGGTTAATTGAACATTGTTTCTTATGGATGCCATTGTTACAGGTTGGAAGGAAAATTGAGTCAACAGTACTTCCACTTGAGCTATTACAGCAGCTCAAGGTTTCTGATTTTACTGATCAACATGAATATGATGCATGGCAGAAGAGAACACTGAAACTTCTTGAAGCTGGACTTCTTTTGCATCCTCGTGTGCCATTTGATAAGTCAAATGCTGCTGCCCAGCGGCTTAGACAAATCATTAACGGGGCTATGGGTCGGCCCATTGAAACTGGGAGAAACAATGAGTCAATGCAAGTTCTTCGTAGTGTTGTCATGTCTCTTGCTTCAAGATCTGATGGGTCTCTGAATGAGTCATGCCACTGGGCTGATGGATTTCCATTTAACCTCAAACTGTATGAAATGCTTTTAGAAGCCTTGTTCGATCCTAGTTGTGAAACATCAATTATTGAGGAAGTTGATGAGCTTATGGAACACATCAAGAAGACTTGGGTAATCCTCGGGATGAATCAGATGCTCCACAATATTTGTTTTACATGGGTTCTATTTAACCGGTTTGTTGCAACTGGACAAGTTGAACCGGACCTATTGTATGCTGCTGATACTCAGCTAGCGGAAGTTGCAAAGGATGCAAAGGCAACGAAGGATGCAGAGTACTCCAAGATTTTGAGCTCTACATTGACTGCAATAATGAGTTGGGCAGAGAAGAGGCTTCTTGCATATCATGATACTTTTGACAGTGGAAATCTTGATACTATGCAGGGTATTGTTTCTGTGGGAGTATCAGCAGCAAAGATTTTAGTTGAGGACATATCTAATGAGTATCGCAGAAAAAGGAGAGGTGAAGTTGATGTGGCTCGAAGCAGGATTGAGACTTACATCAGGTCATCACTTCGAACTGCTTTTGCTCAGGCAAGTCTTCATTATCTTTCACAACCCATGGTCTCTTTTCTTTTCTATTTTCTAATTTTTTTTATTTTATTTCAACTAGGATGGGCAAAGTTGGCAATAGATCAGCCTTTAGTTAAATAACATTTTGAAATCAGGTTAAGATGGCATTGTTTGAGAGTGTTCAGTTGGATTAACTGCATTGTTCTTAGTATTTAACTTTTTGAGGTCAAAGAATGATTTTGGATATGTTTAATTTTTATTATAGAGAATGGAGAAAGCAGACTCAAGCAGGAGAGCATCCAAAAACCAGCCCAATCCTCTCCCTGTACTTGCCATCCTTGCAAAGGACGTTAACGAGCTGGCAATTAATGAGAGGCAGGTCTTTAGTCCAATACTAAAGAAATGGCATCCTCTTGCAGCAGGTGTGGCTGTGGCAACCCTGCATGCTTGTTATGGTAATGAGATAAAACAATTCATATCGGGAATAGCAGAGTTAACACCAGATGCTGTTCAAGTGTTGAGAGCTGCAGATAAACTGGAAAAAGATCTTGTGCAGATTGCAGTGGAGGATTCAGTAGAAAGTGATGATGGTGGGAAGGCAATTATCCGTGAGATGCCTCCTTATGAGGCCGAAGCTGCAATTGCCAATCTGATTAAAGTGTGGATTAAGACAAGAATAGACAGATTGAAGGAATGGGTTGACAGGAATTTGCAACAAGAGGTGCACATTGATTATTAATACATGAAGTTATTTAGTGTTGATAGACTAGACCTCTTAAGTTGTAGATCTGTCTATCAATCTCATAAAGCATTCTAGTGATGTCTTGTTTATGAGCTTTTATTTTAGGATTGTTAAAAATAGTATGTCTCATTGAAATTTTTATGGTATGTGGTAATTTTTGGTTGGCATTGCATCTGTGAAAGAGTTGCTGATTTTGAAGTGGTATAATGTCAAGTCTTAATTATTTCAACTGCATAACACCCTAGATCTTTAAATGCTTATGTCCATTTTGAGATAGATTTATTCAAGTATCTGCCTTTTCTTTAACCTGATGAAATGAACTTGTCTAGTCAATTCCTTGGTGCGATGTTTTTCTAGACTTGATTGTCTATTCCTTCTTTTCTTTAGTGCTGTTGTCTGTTGTTTTATAGTTGTTGGTGCTGCTTCTAGGAACTTCTTAGTTGTTAGATTTCATTAATCTCATCTGTCCACTGCAATATTATAGGATTGGAACCAACAACCAAATCAAGAAGGATATGCTGCATCTGCTATTGAAGTTCTGAGAATTATTGATGAAACTTTAGATGCATATTTTCAACTGCCAATACCAATGCACCCAGCCTTACTGCCTGACTTGATGGCTGGACTTGACAAATGTCTTCAATACTATGTAACCAAGGCAAAATCTGGCTGTGGTAAATGTTTATGGAGCTCTTAGATGACCTATATATAATTTCATGTTTTCATGCTGCCTAATGACTACTATCCTTCATTCTTATTTGTAGGATCACGGAACACATATGTTCCTACAATGCCAGCATTGACAAGATGCACTATAGGATCAAAGTTTCAAGGTGTATGGAAGAAGAAAGAGAAGTCACCAAATCCTCAAAAGAAGAATTCTCAGGTTGCCACAATGAATGGGGGGAATTCTTTTGGGGTATCACAGCTGTGTGTCCGTATAAATAGTATGCACCGAATCAAAACTGAATTAGATGCTCTGGAGAAGAGAGTAATCACCCATTTGAGGAACTGTGAGTCTGCACATGCAGAAGACTTCTCAAATAGTCTGGGGAAGAAGTTTGAACTCACGCCATCTGCTTGTGTTGAAGCTGTTCAACAACTTTCTGAGGCAGTGGCATATAAAATTGTTTTCCATGATCTAAGTCATGTTTTATGGGATGGTTTGTATGTTGGGGAGCCATCATCCTCTAGGATCGAGCCTTTTCTTCAGGAGCTCGAACGCAATTTGCTGATCATCTCAGATACCATGCATGAAAGAGTTCGTACACGGATTATAACAGATATAATGAAAGCATCTTTTGATGGATTCTTGCTGGTTTTACTTGCTGGAGGTCCCTCTCGTGCTTTCTCACGGCAGGATTCTCAAATAATAGAGGACGATTTTAAGACCCTTAAAGATCTTTTCTGGGCCAACGGGGATGGCTTGCCAACTGAGATTATAGATAAGTTTTCAGCTACAGTAAGAGGTGTACTTCCCCTGTTCCGTACTGATACAGAGAGCTTGATTGAGCGGTTCAGACGTGTGACCCTGGAGACATATGGCTCTTCAGCCAAGTCCAGGCTACCACTTCCTCCAACCTCAGGACAGTGGAATCCTACTGAACCAAACACGCTTCTACGTGTTCTGTGTTATCGGAATGATGAAGCAGCTGCAAAGTTTCTTAAGAAGACTTACAATCTACCTAAGAAACTGTAGTTAGCTGAGGCAAGGTGGCACTGAAATTGCTGTGCAGAAGATTCTTGTAGTTGTACTACTTGTATTTAGTAAAAGATGGTGCATACAGGTGGTGATCATGTTATATGCTTGGTTGAGATGGATCACTGATTTTGTATAGTAAATTGGAAGTGTTGTGGTCAAGTCCAGCTGTTTATTCGATACTTTTTCAAAGTTGATAAGAGGAGAGAATCGGAAGGGCATGAGAGTGAGAAGGGAAGGTAGGTGGATCATTATTATTATATGAAGAAATCTCTTTATTTGTTGTTTATTCTATGCAGCAGTTGGCAGCATCTGTTTTATGTTCCGAGGTTCATTATTTGTTATTAAATATTTATTATTAGTGATTATTTTTTGTGATAAATACCTTTTGCAGTGGTTTGTCTTCTTCCTTATCAAAGATGCATCCAGAATACATGAGCCTTAATTAAGGATAAGGCTATTTTTGATCGCAATCTCTCCCTCGTATGTGTGTGTTTCTGGTGTTGCGAAATGGACTTAGAATGTAAACAATAATGAATGATCAGTTGCACCTGCACACCCTAAAATAACTTCCAGTTTAAATTAAGGAGAGACGTTTTTCCTTGACCCAAAAACTTAAGCAGAATATAATAGCTGTTCGGTTCGGGATAACATACTTATTGAAAGTAAAAATTACGTCAGTTCTCGACTTCTGATTTAGCTGTTTTACAATGATGCTCTTAAATGAAAGCAACCCAAGATACTGGTTTGTATTACTTCCACCAAATTTCAGGATAACTTTCTTGGCAATGTAACAATTTATAAGTAAAATCCTGGACCCATTGCATCCGTATCAAAGCCAATAAAATCGTATCAAATACTACATTAAATAATAAAAGAGGTTAGATCTGAGGTTTAATCAAATTACAAAAGTATATATGAGATTTCAGAAATAACGTATATTAAAACTTATAACATGATCAATTGATAAAAAATTTACGAAATTACCACTCTGCCGTTTTATTTTAAACACTAAAAACTTAATGACATAAAGATTTCTATTATTACTATAACCACAAGGGAATTTAATTATATCTAACAGGGATTTTTGTTATAAAATCTTCATATAATATTTATTCACTTAAAAAAAATTAATAATCCTAATCACGTTCATGTCTCACCAAGAATTTTCCTTACATATTGAAAGCTGTCAGATGAGGAGATCAACCACTATGAAATCCCAACACTCGCGCAAACGTAATAACAGCTATCATTAATATTATAGAGCAAAACCCATCCACCAAACCAATTTTAATATCATTAACTAATGTTGGCTCAAAACAGTACCCAATTCACGCCCACCTAAAAAAGACTGAGACTTACAGGTGGCTTGAAACGATATCAATGAATACTAAGATAGAAGATGAGCTACTATACGCGCATTCCTCACATTACATCTCTATTTATGCTCAACCAGAAGCTTTCCTAGCCAATGATCTTGAAAATGTGATCCTGCATTAATTTTAAGACATCCATATCTATGAATACAACTCATTTCAGCAGCCTCCGAGAATAAAATGAGGACAGCCTTAGTTATTCTTGCCATCTGACTTACATAATATAATACAACAACCTGCTCCATCAAGTTTCTTACATAAATTAAAAGAGAACATAAGTAGAAGGATTAACATTTTCATAATTTTCATTTTCTTCTATAAAGATATGGCTAGCAGCATATGTCACTATAGGAAAGGATAAAGAAGGACTGCTTACCGATCCCTAACCAGATAGTCTAAAACAACAGAAATACTGGCACCATTATTCCTCCAGGACAGCACGCCCAAGATTTGTTGCAAGAGCTAATCTAACAGAGCTCAATGCCTGGGGTGGCAAGTTGGCTTCAATGAAGTCTGGCCGTAGCCTTGCCATGGATAATTCTTGCAGTTTATTCAATAGAAGATTTGTCTGCGTGACATTTAGCAAAGGCCTCTCCTGCCAAGTAAGCAGTTTCAACTGCACAAAAGCATTATTAAAAGGGAATTAGTAAAGCAAAAAGAGATGCATGTTTAAATAATTCCACACAAGAGAGAATCTTCCATACAACAGATGTATAATACAACCAATCAATGATGGGGCAAGTACATATCACGCGAACTGATGCGGCATCCTATGTTTAGTTGGTTTATATACATCTGTTATAGTTTTTCTTCCACATACATAATAAAGTGTGTTCACATTTACAGGCCTTCTGCCATGTGATCTCATCTTGAAAATTCTTGGAAGATGGATAAACAAAATGAGCCATTCAAAAGTTAAATGGGGAAAATGAATCAAGCCATACATCCACTAATCATTCTACCAAGAAAACAACAATTTTGTCTATTGACTGCACCTACAGTCAGGCACTTGAACAAATTTATACAAGAGTTACTGACATAAGTAGATAACTAGCACTTAGAAACGCACTAGAATTTACTGAGCCCAAGGGATTTATGCAGAGCAACATCATAAAAAAAGAGCTCACCGAATCATAGAGAAGAGGCAACCAGAAGCGCTGAGGTGTAGAAGGATTTTTCATAAGCTGCATTTTCATAACAAAATTTCTTTTATTGGAAATTAAATTAATAAGAAATTACAGAAAACAGATGCCAATTTGAACCATTCTTGGGTGGAGAAGAGAATGAATCAAAGGCGATTTTCACACAAAATTATAAAATAAAATATAACAAAAATAAATCCATCAAAGAGTAGGCCTTCTATATTGACTATAGACACATGTATTAGCAAATTCAGCGTGATCCATAGCCATCTGTGCAAATAAGACAAATTACACAGGAGAAACCCCATTCATGGCAAATTCATTGGTCTTAGAAATTAGTAAATTTAGTTGATAATGGTAGTAACATCACTTTATATAGAAAAGGAGTCCATAACATACTGATACAAGTGATTCTACAGCTTGGCAAGCAGTGTCAGTAGTTTTTCCATCATGAATCTGCAAAAGAGACTTCTTAAAATCCCTGTACCTATAGGGTGCACTGAGGATTAGAACCGATCAAAGTAATCAAACAAAATATGATAAGTGATTATCAGACCACAAAGTCAAGAGGGTTGTAAAGATGAATACATACTTGTGTAGAAAGTCAAGACCCCCAACCATGTTAGATTCAGAACCCAACAATTGAATCAAACCTTCCCATTGCTGCACTTACAGAAAATAGGTTATATGAATTCAAAATAAAAACAAAAGACTGAGTATTTTCAAAAACAATGAACAGCAACAGATGTAAATAATATGTTTCATTAAGAAGCTCCTAACCCACTAAATTCAATTGAATATGATGATAGTTACCCTGAAACTTTCATCAGATATCGACTTTCCAACTGAATCAAACATCTGCTGAGCAATCCTGTTAAGTCGAACTTCATCCCGCGCTTGCTGAAGCCAGAAAATTCCAGAACCTTTCCTGCCATGCTTCCAATGGTACATTCCGGCAATCTACACATTAAAACAGAAAAAATTCAACACAAATGCCACAATTCAAAATATTATCTGTAATAAAAATTTAACTCCATTAGAACTTGCATATAATGTATTCCAAGTTCTAGCCTAAATCACTAAAGGGCAGGAAAACCAGAATTTCCTAATATTTGCAATTGTTAAAAGTATTGTACATTAACAGACAGAATATGTCCCAGATTGACATGTACATATACCTTCATAATTCTTGAACTAACACTGTCAAGTTCATATAGGCGGCAGATCTCTATATTCTGCACGAAATACAAAAAATCGTGTCCAATAATAACTAGAAAACGATACAAATACAAGAAGATTAGATGAGGAAAATAGAAAAATAAAATAGAGCAAGTGCCACAAAAGTAAAAGCTGACAGCAAAGCTGAACTGATCACCTTAAGTAGAAATTGCTTATGATAAACAGGTTGCTTGTACAATAATATCTCCAACAAACCCATTCCCTGCTTCATGCATGATGCCAAATAAATTGGAGCGATCTGTGAACAAAGCAGCCACAAAAGAGTAAGAAAACATAATAAAATGATGCACGTCACTGCTTCCAGGGAAAAAAAAAAAAAAAAAGCACAAGAAGATAAATAAAAATGAAAACAGAGAATTAGAAATGCTGACTAGTATTCGCACGCAGAGCATCAACTTAAATAGAAACTTGTCAACGACAGTGTGCAGTTACATGCCCATGAATACTTCTTAAGATAATTTTAACTCTTCTAAAACACTCTACCTTACATAAGAAATCAATACACCCTAGAAAAATAGACACTCACTTGCCAAGTCAACGCATGAGCAGACAAAACTTGTGCATAGACAAGCCGATGGAGCTCCTCCATGTTGATCTCACCCAAGTTATGATGCTCTTCATGCAGAAGAATATCTGCTTGATCGCTCCCAGCAGTCAACAGCTCTATGGCATGAGTGACCATCCTAATGATAAACCAGATTAAAAGCTGCTCTTAATGGATCTAAGAAACAAAAGAAGAAAAGCCAAGTTTCATGTTTATCTTTAATCCCCTGCCCTCCTGTGGTGATGGGGGGGAGATGACACCTTTAAAGTATGATTGGGGGGGGAAAAAAAAAAAGGAAATCAGGAAGAGAAGACAAATAGCCACTCACCAAGGACCAAATCCTTTGGAGCATTCTGCTAACACAACCTGCAACATTTTAAAAAATCTAACAGGACTTTATGACCAGAAAGAGGAACAAGGTTAAAAAATGCATAACGTTAACTACCAGTGTCCAACCACATGACTCACCTCAATATTCTCACCAAGAATCCCAATCATGAGTCCCATTAATCTATGGGAACTGGCCATTGGTTTCAACTGAATGCATTTCTGAGCCAGGCTGTTCATGCTTTCTAAACCCTGGCCCAAGAAAAATAATTATATGTCTTCTTTAAATCTGGATTGCAAGTAAATACTTTATAACAACAGAAATAAATAGCACAAAAAAATTCATATCGAAAACAGATATTTACCACAGTGAATGGCCTGATATATAGAAAGTGAGAAATATATAGCTCTATCCAATGACACGTAGCAGTGCAGAGACAATTAGTGTTCCCCAACATGATTTGTAGCATATTTCTCAGGCCGTCTCGAGTTTGACGATGAGCACACTGAACCCAGAATGCACTACATTCCAGCTTAGTTATTTGTGTCCGCCATTTCTCCCATGCCTAGGTAAAAAATATATATGGAGTAATATATCTACTGAAAAAGATGTATCAAGGGAGTCTCTGTGTGTGGATAAAAGTCATGAAAAAGAGTATACTACTAAAAAGTACAAAGATACCTTGATAAAATCAGGCTTAGCTTTATAGCAGTCACCTAGTTTTCCAGTTTCTAATTCTGGACGCATTCGTGGCATTTTTGAAATAAGAACAGCAACTGCCTCTACCAGGCCATTCTCAGTCTGTTCAAAAACATGATATCAAAACTGGATAAGATTGAAGTGCATAAACATTTATGCAT